AGCACAAAGACCTCATCTCGCCAGCCAACGTTTCATCATTATTGAGACTGTTCATTTCAGACTTTTGATGCTGCACCGACCGTACATGCTGCGCGGTTACAGAGATCCAACATACGAGCCGTCTGTCAAGGTGTCTGTTGAATCTGCCCGCACCATCATCTTTTGCCGAAGCGAGATGGACAGAATAAGCTGGGCTATTCAAAAGGTGCGCGCCTGCAGGGTCCTCATTCGTCTCGAGTAATTGCTGATGTTCGCGACCCCTCTTTCAGTACCCAGCTTTTCGCATACACAACCACATGTCGGCAATGCTGTTGGCGGTGCACCTTCTCGAGGAAGCGCGACAAGGTCGACACTCTGATCCGGAGTCTATCGCTATTCGAGAAGAGGTTACTGTCGCGCTGAACTTTGTTGCCGGTCGTACTGTAAGTCGCGCAGAGAGACCAGATTCCGAAATGCCGAAGCTTACCAAATCGCCCTGTCGCAGACATCCGACGGCACACCAATCACGAAATCCGGCGCAAAAGCCGCCAAAGCGACGCGCCGCATGATCGATGCTCTCCTCTCGGAAAGTGCCGCGCGGGGAGAGGTGGAGAATGACGAAACGTCGCTGGCGCAACAAGTAGCTACCAGTGCGGGCCACGATGCTACCCACAACGAGGCAGACTTCCCGTCGACGGCTGCTCTCGACTCCCACACGTACGTCGTGCCGGAGTCGCGCCATACCGTTGAGGAGTTGCCAGAAGTCCAGCATCCCTTCGACTCGGAAGCTTTCTCCGCGCCCGTCCCTACAAACTCCACCAACGCCTCACCAGGCTCTTTACTCGATGCTCTGCTGCGCCCTGATGATCCCGTCAACCTGTATCTCTCACAGCTGTTCGGCTCATCGACTGGCGAGAACCTTCCGCCGCCGCCTCCTGAGAATTTTTGGGGGGCTACGGACAAGGTGATTCGGCTATCCGAACACCCGTGAGATGGCCTGCACTGCCGTCATCTCGCCTTCCTTCGGAAATTTTGTATTCTACCCTGTACACTGTTAAAAGCGTCTCCAATCATGCGAGTGAGGATGGCGCCTTGCTCGGCCTTCAACGTGCGTCTGGGTCAGTGTCGAGTGTCAATGTTGC